CTAGCTGTACGTCCAAGACGGCGGAGTTACCACGGAGACATTCAAGCTTCGTTGGTAGTCTGCGGATCAAATGGAAACTTTCTTCCCTATCACAGAGAGGGTCAGTTTGGATGTACATGCATGTGTATATGCCAATCATAACAGTAGATAGCCCTTGAGCCGTACACATGTATTTTATCCCGGAGTTTCCCCGGGTACTGTATGGTCATATGTACAGTCTTGATTAGCAATGCCAAAGTGTGTGTGTGTGTGTGTATGTGTGTGTGTGTGTGTGTCTGAGTGGGAGAGGTTCCATAAGAAACATAAATTATGAATGATCTTCCTTATTTCCTGTGTTGTGTACCATTAGATAGAATTTAAAAAAATAATTGTCGATTTATTATTATTATTATTATTATTATTATTATTATTATTAGTCCATTGAGCAACAACTTCATGTTTCAGCCAACAGTTGGAAGAGACATTATTCACAGACGCCGTTAACACACTTCTGATCTGGTGTACAGCAAGTGTAGTAGTCGCTGTAAGCGCAGCACGCCTCGTCCGAGGGACAGGGGTGATCTTGACAAGTTAACGGACGGGGAGGAGGGGTTGGAGGGTCGTAGGTGCATCCGTCGCCATGGCATCGGGTGTCCTGGGCGATATTGGCGACTAACAACTCCAACGCTGACGTGTCCTGCATGGGGGAAGTGAAATTGAAGGGCCCAAACCAACGTGTACCAAACACAGGCCCGGTGGAATTATGGTAGGGCCGGCCGTCTCGGTACGATATGTTACACGGTTTCTTCAGTGTTGGCTCACATATCGAACTGGACAATAGAGAACGCATGTTCATTGCTAAGTAATCCCTGTAAAGTTTAGCGTGAGCCTGATCAGAGACGTCTGCGAGATAACGTAGATTGCGCGCAAATATCCCTTTGAACATTTTTGCGTCGTCGTTACATGTTTCGTTCCCCGCGTCGCAATATTCCATCAAAACGCCGTGTCGGGACGACAAGGTCATTGTTGCATTGGCAATCTTGTGAGCAGTGTTCAGAAAATTGGTCTGATTTGTTGCTTTGTAAAGTTCGACCAAGCTACCGATAAAAACACCACTGTTGTAAGTTCTTCCATAAACTCTGTTCGACGAGCAGTTGTTCAAATATATGCCGTCTGCCACCTGAAATGTGTCCGGGTCGATCACGTGGTTGTTCACCAAAAAATTGATGGTGAGGTTCAGTTGTGACATCAACTCTTGTCGTCTGCTTTTAGATGACGTCAGGCGGTAAAGTCGGGCTCCCAGCTGCATCATCTGGAAATGGAAATGAGTTACAAAAAAGATCATATTTCGCTTTACCCTCTACCAGGGTGACAGATTGAATTTTCATAGGTATTCACAGATATGCCTCTAGATAAATAGACAGTCATTAGGCTCTCTGTTTTTTCCCCATTTTCCCTATATAATCTGCCACCCTGGTAGAGGTCACCTTCGCCTTGCTTATTTCAAAGTTCCTTAAGAGCAATTCTTTTCACTATTTATGTCGCAAAATTTTAATTGGAAGCATTTTGCTTTAGACTACTGTGTAAACCTTAAATCCCACTTATCTGCATATCACGTATTGCTCATAAAGGACGACAAACAGTTTTGTGAAGGGCTATTTAAGAACGTCTCAAACTTGCGGTGTTTACCTGGACATTGGTAATCGTCTGCTTGGCGTTGACCTGTTGGTCGAACCACATGCCTCCATGACAGTTGTTCATATTTGTATCCCAGCCGTTTTTCCAGTTCCAATCGTAGATCTGCTGAGCAGACGACAGGAAAGTCGAGTCTCCAAGGACCTGGAATATTTTAGTTGTCCATGAAGGGAACTATAGGGCAGTTAATGGCTGCATTGCAGACTCTCGAATACCGAGAAGTCTATGTCTACATTTCTTAATTCTTATCTAATATAAAGACCTGTAGTCTTGAATAAATTTAAAAAAAAAAAAACAGTTTAAGATTTATTCCTTAGCAAAAAAAAAATTTAAGAAGACAAATGGACACAGAACTCGAATAAATAAACATTCCAAACGTAGACATTTTCCAAGGTTGCCTCTCCTCCACTGTGAGTTTCAGCGTTTATTGAATTGCTTCGAGTCGTTGAAAGAAGCTTGTACAGTAGTTGGTTTCCAATAAACTCTAAAACTCAGGGCGCTCACCTCGGAAATTCTTGCAAAGCTCAGCCCATACCAAGCCATATCGTCATAGGAAGGCTGTGGGGCGTAGGCCTCCAGTAGACTATACAGGTACCTAAGGGAACTGCGGACCACTGAGATGTAGCGAGTGTTGTTACCGTACACCATGAAATTAGTCAGAACCTCCAGAACCGCTCCATTTTGCCAAAATCCGTCGAAGCCGTTCCATACCGTGAAGCGAAACGGAAATTTGATATTGACAGATAGATGGATGTAAACATGTGAAAGCGAATAAGAAAATGTGAAGTAAAGAATAGAAAGCAAAATTAATGTAACATTTCCAATTGTATGTTTACTAGCATTTGACATCCATATTTGATTTCCGGATTTTGAGGCTCTATAATTGTGCTACAAACCCCTTATTTAATAGAGCTATTCTTAACAGGATACCAACAATAATATATCGCGTTGTGCTTTAAGACCTTAAGATAAATCGCGAAAGAGAATTAAGGGGCGGTTTTATGTAGTAGGAGACAGGAAATTGTAGTCTATTTTTATGCTTTAGATTAAAAGTGTCATTCCATTAAGAACTCTTTACAAACAGTTGGAGGTATTATAGTTTTAGGCCGATTGTTACTTAATTCTAGAAAACTACAAATAAAATCTTAGTAAATGTATGTGATTAGTTGACGAAAGTCTGGGTTTTTCCACAGAAAAGTGACCCTCTGAGTCCCGTCAGTGTTGCACATATTGTGTAATGTATATAAATACACAATGTCAGGAATATGCCAACATTGCTTCCAATTGGTTCGCCACTGCCCTGACCCACATTGTTGAATTTTGTTAAATGACCTTGGTAATTTTAAGATTTAAATAAATTATTTTTTAAGAAGAAAAAAGGACCCAGAACGTACCTGGTAGCTGAACAAACCCGCGATGGGAGATGGCCACCAGTTCTGTTGAAAGGCGTATTCTGTCCTGCAGGCCCAGTAGGCCGCCTCGTCCCCGCCAAACATAGCCAGGGTACACTGAGACGCCGTGTCGTTTCCATCTGATACGCCGGTCCCGATTGCAGCAATTTCTCGCGACCCAACTCTTGTCTGGTGTATCGGACTGGTTAAAGAGCTGATTTCGACGCTCGAGTTAAAAATGCGTACATCCTTAGGCGTATTGTATCTGCTATCGGCCTGCGATAGCAAGCCGCATAAGAGTATTAAACTGATGTGCAGTATCAAATTTACTTGCACGAGTCGACCCATCGTCGTTAATTTAACGCTATAACTTAACAGGGGACACCGTTCACTGCGCTGCGTAAACTTTCAAATTTCGTTAAGAAAAGCACTGCGCTAAGTACGGTAAAAGGTGGATGGAAACAATAGTCCAAAGCTCATACATGTAGCAATAGGTGTTACAGTAACTGAGAAACAAATGATGATGACAACAAGGTATTCTGGTATCAAATTGTGTCAAGATTGTTAGTTTACGCTCTAATAGCTGATTATTTCACCACACCTGCTGCCAGTTAATGCCTATCTCTTAACTAGCCCTCCTTTGGTTGTCCTATCTACAGAGGTGAGGAGGTGACGGAAGGACCAATGACATCAAGCGTAGTTAATTATTTACCACTGTTCGATAATCAATAGCACGACGTTGTAAGAGAGACCATAAACGCATCTTACAAGTATGCAAGTTGACAAGCGAAGATAAAAGAAATTGTCCTTGAATAAATGTTTTCCGCTATGATTAAATCAATTGATTTACTAATTTATCATAAAAGAATACTCCGGAAATACTTTCTGAGTTTCTTGCACTCACCTGTCAGTATTTTCTATATTTTAGAATCAATGAAAATAATTTCTTAACAGATTAATGCGATGAAGTAAATTCACCCCAAAATTTATATTATCATTTTCAGACACACCTCACCTCTAGCAACCATGTTGACGTGCTTTTGAATCGTGCGCAGCATGGAATGCAGTGAGAGAATTGAGGTAGAAAGAATGGCGGGATTTGAAAAAGCCACACATAAACATGGGCTAACGACCTTTCGTTACCCAGAGAGTTATGACGAGTATCAGGGAAGGAAGATCAAAAGTTAATTAGTTTGAACAAAATTATGAGATTTTCGAGTTAAAATTTTACACTGGGCTACTCTGAATATCTTATACCGGTAGTGAAATAGTGATAATATTTTGATTAACATAATTTATTGATAAAAGTGAAACCCAGTGGTTAATGTTAAGAGCAACTATAATAAAACACTTCATGTTTGAATGAAACTTAGTTAAAGGACTGCTTCTGGAGATTTAAAACTACTGCAATAAAACTGTTCATTCTATTGAAAATTAAAAAGTGCATATTGAATAAAGGAGCATCAGATTATTTTAGTCTTCAGTTTTGTCAAATCACATATACTGTTTGATGTTAAAAGACAATTGGATTGCTCCATAAATATATGATTTAGTTTTGCACAGATCTTCCTTTAGTTTATCTAAAGTAAGCCTATCTGACAAGGTCGAAGCTTCATCATAAGAGATTAAGAGACTAAGACGCGACAAATTGGACCCCATTTCCAGAGATTAGATCGATCTACTTTAGATCGACCTAACTCCCTGGGGGTTCACGCTAAATAGCTGTCAGCCGAGCGGACACGAAAGTATATTACCCCCTTGCAGCTTGTAGTAGGCAGGACGGACATTTAAGCCGGATTATCTGACAGTAATCTAGTGAGACTCCCCGCGGGGATAGATCGATCTAAAAGCTCTGGGAATACAGCCTTGGAATACATGTATCTGGAACGATTCCTATTACAGTGTTTTAATGCTGTTTTTGCATGTAATAATAAAAATGACTTAATGATAACCAACAATTTTAATTGTGTTATACAAATGTAGGTTTACTACCAATTTAAGTCGATTTTCCCAGCATAACTTAGTTTTAAAATGCAAGTCCCCTGCTGTAAACATATAATTTATACTGGATTTTTTATCACACTGTATTATTTGACTTTATCTAACTTATCTACATTTTGAAGAGTTTTATCCAGAGATTGATTTAATAAGATTAAAAGCCACACATGTCAGACAGGGATCGTGGGACCATGAAAAATCTCACCATCATTACTAACACCAATGCTCACTTGTCTCACACTCGCAAGCGTAATTTTTGTCACAATGAAGTCCATATCTTTTTTCTCATTATGCTTGGTTTTGAGTGTTTTATACACACAAGGTGCAGTTACAAATTCAGACTACCCTCTTTCGACGCAAAGTGTTATGAATGACAGCAGTGTTGACCGTTTAGCAGCGTGGGCAAAAGCTTGGATCGACGTCGTAAGCCGCGAGGCGATCAAGGCTAGAATGAAGGACGAGAATTTGACAGCCGAAGTACAAGACTTACATAGCTCAGACAACAACTTTGAAATAGTTCTTCAGGACGTAAAACAAAAAGTAAACAATGGAATTCAAACTCATACTTCACTCCAAGCAGACAATATGGCACTTTCTGGCAAGATGACAGCACTTGAACGCCAGGTTCAGCAACTTCAAACATCGTTACAGCAATTTGCAAATGCAGTGGCGGATGTCGATAGACATCAAAACATCCTTAGAGGTATGAATCAAACCATTATTTCCATTAAATGGTAAATAATTCTATAGGCCGAATTCAATATTTAGGACGTTTTGAAGAAAGCGTAAATCTGTAACTTACATTTATTTTATCTTAAAAATGGTTGTATGTTTTGAAACAGACCAGTTAATTAATTTATGCTGTATCCAACAGATTTCCACCCAGAATGCACGGGCTGGTCTGTTACGTACCAAAACAAAGAGTACCATTTTGTCAACCCTGTGAAAGGTACAACCCATGCTACGGCGCGAGCGTGCTGTCATGTTATGCGGAAAAACCTGTTGGCCGTGAACAGCGCTGAGGAGTTTAACTTTATTGTGGCAAATATTCCTAGAGGAGCTTGTAAGTACAATATTGTTGACTGTAGTATTTTAACAATTATCAGTGTATGGTTATTAACCGTTCTGTAAAAGAGATGCTTGTCTGTCTTAAGTATCTACAAGTAATTCTTGCATCGCTTTCTTGCCCTCTATAAGTCGTGTTGCCACTCCCATAGGTCCAATAGTCAAATCCTGCAATGTTCTTTCCTATTTTCTTTACATAAATGCATTATTTAGGGCTAGAGATGTAAAATGAGCTTGGTTGCTACTTCTGAGACGTTGGACATTTTTCAAAATGCCTGCAAATTGTTAAGGAAAAATAGAAAAACGATCAAAAGTCGCCAGATATAGCTTAATTTGTGGCTGTGTTGAATGTATAGACTGTCGGAAGAACACAGCAGGATAATAGACTACATCACAACAAGATGCTGCTATTCAAGAAATCAAAATGGCGGCAAAGCATGCAGTAGAGGGTAAAGTAGAGCCGCAAAAATAATATATTTCTTCTATTATTAATTAAATTAAAACCATCTCCGCCTTTGATTTTTCTGTTCTTTTGTAAGCCACGACCCTTAACTAAAATATCATTATCATCTTATTTGACATTCAACTATATGCTTTGTGAGAACATAACCCCAAAGTAGTTTAGATGACATTTCCAATACAAGAGCCCCATAGTCGAACCAATGCATTCTATGAAAGAATTGTATTTGTTTGGGTAAGAAAGTCAGCTTAGCTTGGCATTTCTTGCCAATTGCACCTGTTTGTACGTTGAGCACTTCACTTCATGATTCAAGATGGCCGCCAATTTGTTACGTAAACTTCAAACATTTCAAATCCCACTACAGGTTTATTTTGTTATTTTGTTTATTATGAAAACAGAGGTGCATATTGCGATTGATTTTACATCTCACAAGCCATATGAATTAAAAATAGTATGTTGGCCAAAGCGGTATATAAAAGGTAAAGAAAAACACTGGTGAAATATGCAGTTCTGTAAAAAAAGTTAACAGAAAATAACATTGCAGCGTTAGCGTTTTGGCAACTCGACTAAGTGCAGCGCACATGCAGTTCGTATTTCTGGCTGTCTCACCTATTTCTCGAGAGCAGTCGCGCACAGGTCAAACAGGACGGCTGAACAGAAATTAGGAGGTATAATTTTTACCACAGAAAGATCTGGGGATCGAACCCACAACCTCACGCTACAGACATTACCCCTTCCCAACCCCCCAACCCCCCCACGACCTCACCACGCTTTACTATGTAATGAACCTTTTACATATTAAATCAATCTATAAATTTAGTTAAAAGCTTATTTTAAACTTGAGCTTCAACAGGGCATAACGTTTTTCAACTTCCTTAGATCAAAAAGCAATACATAGATTCCATGGTTCGTGTCAACAAGTAAATCGTATCACTAGCCATAATGTGTACAAAGGTTTTCTTTATTCTACCTAGAGTAATACCATTTTCTTACAGTGCACCATCCTCTTGAGACCCAAAAATGACAAGTACAATTTATTGGACACATTATGGGAAAATAAGGAGACAAATACTTTAATTGATCTGCTTTGTAACTTAAAAAATTGTCGATCTTTCACGCTAGACGTTGTTTGCAGCTCGACTTTTTGATTATTGAAAAATGACACGTTTCACTATGTTCTTCAACACTGGTTACAGTATACAGATTATACATCCTTTTAATTATTTATTAATTTATTTATTTTACTCAAAGTTTGTTTTAACCTAAGATAAATAAAGCACCGTGGTTTTTCTTTAGGCACCTCGCAATGTGTTGAATTATTTAAAAATAAAAAGAATCTATGTTTTGCGTTTTGTCTCCTGGAAATATGAGATTTTATCGTTTGCGCTGTCTTTGGACGATTTTAGGAATAACTAAAGAAGTTTAATACGCTGTAATTATTGTTCTTTCTTTAACATTTTATTTCTAATATTTAAATCCAGGATTAGAAAAATTGTTACATCTCAATCCTTAAAAAACGGGTGGAATAGATAACAAATACGATGGTGCGTATTGCCATCATGCGGCGAGATCATTATCAACAAACCAATAACGAACGGCACTAATCACTGTATTGTACTATCTTGATGTAACTGTGCCCCCCCCCCCCCCACACACACACACACACACACCCCCGTCCAATTAAAGATTCACTTCATGAGATTTACTTAAAGGTACATACGAACCGAGCATCGGTGTAGCGTGGATTTCCAATAACACATGTAAACCACTTCTCACTTCTACTAGATTCTTATACATGTATGTCTCAAATAAATTCGACATGCCAAGGGATAAACTGAATAGATCACTCGATCAGCCATAAAAGACCTTTAGACTGTCCCTTTCTTTACATTTTTTTGTTGTAAATTTAACATACTTTCGTGACCTACTTTCCTGCCCCATTGACATACAGCTTAGAATGCCAGCAGAAAAATCCGTTCAAACATCATTTTCGGGTAAAATTAAACAATGCCTTTGGTAATTCTCTTAGTTATACTACTTGAAACTATATGCTGACATTTGGTTGGTTTTTGTGACAAAAATTGACTTTGTTTGCATCTTTAAGTTAATTAAAACTGATGCAGCGGCGATAATTTACACTTTATACAGTTTCTCTGAGGGCGATCACTTGTAGAATGATGGGGTATAATGAGCATAAAATATTTAATACCATAAATCAGGCAAATTTTAGCTTTTATTGGCAATATACAATATTTTGAAAGCAAGACACATTTCATGATCAAGAGTTTGGTGCGGTACAGGTTCAGATTTTAAACTCACCACACTCTTGATCATAAAATTTGTCTTGCTTTCAAAGTTCGTGATCATGTAACAAAACAATTATTCGTCGCCTTACGGATTTACTGGATCCTCATCTGGGGATATTTGACCTGTGCAGACATTATCCCATTGATTCATTAAGGCATAATTTCAAGATGACATTTCTAACAATTTATCGTACGCAAAAACTTTACTTTCTAGTAAAATTTGTACTGGAGAAAGACGCCTTCTTTCAAACATCTTTCAAAAATATCTACTCTGGAAAAATATATTTCAGATAGTGGTTATTGGTTGGACGCAGAGTGTATTAACAGCAGTTGCACTTGGAAAAACAGTCCAGGATCTTCATTTTATAATCCTGTGACGTTTCAAGTGGGAGGAAGCCTTGATGATAACTGGGGAAAGAGGTGCCTAGTCCTACCATACCAGTATAAGCCGAATCAAGGGTACGTGGGGCTGGACTGTACAACGACCACTGAGTATACGGGGTTTATTTGTGAATGACTGTCTTTTCTGCAAAACTGCACATGCAGGCCTCATTAACGATAACTGCTGTTTGTGATCTCGAGCCACGGATTTGGGATGGCGAACCCTAAATTAAGGACTCAAACCGCGATTTCATGGCTCAAACATAATGATAATGGTCGAGGGCATTACATAAAAGAGCACGAATTATTTAGCAAGCTTTCTTCCGGGTCTTTTGCTGTTAAATAGGAATTCTTTTTCTCAAAATCAAAGTGTTTTACAATTCTAATACGGTCTCTTCAATCTACGACTTTTTCTATTTTTCCCTATACAATCTCTCACTGGTAGAATGTAGAGAATGCATCAAACGGGTAGCGGATTAACCTTGCACGATTTGCATTAATTTACTATTATTATACGTTCGTGTCATGAAATTGTCTTTGTATACATGTTTTCCGCTATGAATAAATAAATTGATTTACTAATTTATCATAAAAGAATACTCCGGAAATACTTTTGAGTTCCTTGCACTCACCTGTCAGTATTTTCTATATTTTAGAATCAATGAAAATAATTTCTTATCGGATAAATGCTATGAAATAAATTCACCCCAAAATTTATATTTTCTGACAGACCTCACTTCTTGTCAACCATGTTGACGTGCTTTTGCGCAACATGGAATGCAGTGAGAGAACTGGGGTAGAAAGAATGGCGGGATTTGAAAAATCCACTCATAAACGGCCTTCTCATTAAAAGACGATTAGATTGGCCAATGAAAATATGAATCAGTTTTGCACAGATCTTTTAGTTCATCTAAAGTAAGCCTATCTGACAAGGTCAAAGCTTCACCATAAGAGATTGAGCTGCGCCCGCCACAGTTAAGTGCGCGTGCTACACTGGGCAGGCACATTCTGTAATCGAGCGCACACTGCGTCCAAAAAGCCACTTCGAGATTTTTGTTATGCTCTGCCGGTATACACTGTGCAGAAAAATCAACCTACGCTACAGCAGACAACTTTTAAAGGATGCCTCTCCTCGGAGTGTCATCGTTTTCTGAATCGCTACAATTTGTTGGAAGAATCCTGTTCTTAGTTTCTATATACTCGTAGTTTAGAAAGGGGTTTTAACTTCGTCGAAATCTTATTGCGCTTAACAAATGTTTCCATGTTTGCCCTGGACTCTTGTGTATCCCTCGTTCCCACCGTCAAATCTAGTGACAACGGTGCTATCAGTGAGAAGATAACAAACTGTATACACTGGAATTGTACAAATAATTTCGAAACAAGGTCCTTTAATTGACAATTTTTTTTCGGAGGAGCACATTTGATTGAGTATCGTGACTAAGCTGGTCTATCTTATCTCCATAACGCTGGGAATGTCGTCTTAGTAAGCAATACAGAAGTCAAGTGCAAAACATGGTGAATACGTACAGTTGTGCAAATGACCATTTCTACAAAACTTACAGAAAACAACCAGATATATTCGTGGATGTATTCTGTCAATTCTGTCAACTATTGTTCATTGCCGCACCCCCACGCTAGTGTGCTATTATTTCTGACCCCATTCTCCTCCTAAGACGCGTATAAATGTATTCCCATAACAATGTTTTAATGCTGTTTTCACATGTAATAACAAAGATGACTTAAGTATAACCAACAATTTTAATTGTGTTATACAAATGAAAGCCTACTACCAATTAAAGTCGATTTCTCCAACAAATGTACTTTTAAAACTTGTACTTTTTCTCCTGCTGTAAACTGCATAATGTATACTGTATTTTTATCACACTGTATTATTTGACTTTCTTTAACTTATCCACATTTTAAAGAGTTTTATCCAGAGACTGATTAAAGAAGATCAAAGACCAGACAGGTCAGACAGGGGTCGTGGGACCATGAAAAATCTCACCATCATTACTAACAGCAGTGTTCACTTGTGTCATAGTCTTTGCTGGAAGCAAGATCGTTTTGTGTCCTCTCGCCAGCGAAATGTTTTTCACAATGAAGTTCATAGCTTTTGTTTCATTTTACGTAGTTTTGAGTGTTTTAAACACACATGGAGCGGTAACAACTACCAGCTACCCCCTTCCAACTCAAAGCGTTAAGAATTACATCAGTACCGACGGTTTAGCAGCGTGGGTCAAAGCTTGGGTCGGCGTCCTAAGTCGCGAAGCGAACACTGTCAGATTGAAAGACGAGAATTTAACAGTTGAAGTACAAGATCTACGTCGTTCAGACGAAAACTTCAAAAATAATCTTAACGGCGTGCAGCAAAAAGTAAACAAAAATATTCAAACTGTTACTTCTCTCCAAGCGGACAAGGTTGCACTTTCTGACCAAGTGACAGTGCTTAAAAGCCAGGTTCGGCAACTTCAAACATCGTTACAACAATTTGCAAAATATGTGACGGATATTACTAGACTAAAATACACCCTTAAAGGTATGAATCAAATTATTATTATTATTATTTTATTATAATTATTATTTTTATTTCTTTTCGATGACTATTTTATTGTAGAATGTTTAAAAAAGCGTAATTATCTCCGTATCTTCGTTAAATCTGATGTTTCTTTGATTTCATTTTGTACCCAATAGATATATATGGATGCGGCGACGTACGTTTTGTTAAATTCCAAAACAAAGAGTACTATTTTGTCGACTCCTTCAAGAATAAAACCCAGGATATAGCGGAGATATGCTGTCATCTCATGGGGAAAAAGCTGGTGGCGGTGAACAGTGCAGAGGAGTTTAACTTTATAAAGACTAATTTGAAAAATGGTAGGTGAATGTTTTTGAAAGTACTCCACAATTTGAACAAGATTTTTTAACCTGAGATACATGTATGTGAAGAATGGTTGGGTGAATGTTTTTTAAAATACTCCACAATTTTGATCAAGGCTATTTTACCTGAGATATATGCATATCATTCCACCTCTATCTTTCCTTTTTTCTGGTCCTCGAATAAATTATTGAGTTGTTGCTCACCTTTTCAGCAAACGTACTGGTATCGTCTGCGAATCTCGGGCTGTTCAGTCGTTCTCCATCGATTTCGATGCCTGTTTCGAAGTTCACTCTCATGAAAATCTCTTCCAGTGCCGCTGTAAACATTACTGGAGAAACTAGGTAATCCTTCCGGACCCATTATGATCTTAAATTCCCTGCTAAAAATGCCAGTTCCTATTTGCGCTGTGCCTCCTCTGTGTCTCTCTTTTAGGATGTTGATGTGTTTTTCCTCGACGCCATGCTCTTTTCAGCGTCTCGAGGACTGCCTTATGTTAGATTAAATTAAAGGTTTTCTAAGACTGAGCTCCCAAGCCTTGATCGATCCAAGGGGTTTCTCGCTAAATCGCTTTTAGCTTAAGCGGGTTAGGTGTGTTTCACGCTTGCAGAAGCTGCTAAACTATAATTAATTACCCCTTAGCAGCTTCAGTAGGCGTGACAGACATCTAAGCCGCTTAAGTTGATAGCAGTTTAGCGAGAATCAGGTTGTGGAAGTCGCGGAAGTATTTGACAGGACTCTTGACAACGGAAAAGGTACCGTAGACCGTAGAAATCGAAGAATAGATAACTGCAAGCCGGAGACGATTTGGCCAGTACAACTCCTTCCTGAAAGAAATGAAATGTTAATGAAATGTTAATTAGCTTGTGGTAAGTTAACCCGTGACTGGAGTCTTTAATTTGGGCATTTGTGGTCTCAAACATAGGGTTCGTGTCAGAAAACGGCAATGATCGATAATGAGGTTTCTTTCTCACTTGTAACTTCCATTAAGTTTTTTTCCACTTAATGGTGGCCACCAGCATAGGCAATAGGCCTAGTGGCTGGGTTAATGGGTGAGCTTAGCCAATCTAATAGACTGTTTGTCTCACACTGTCTGTACTGGTATTTAGTGTATCCTGAGATCAGTCGTCAGTCTGGTGTACTATCAAGGAAGCTACCTAGTTTAATGTATCTTTGAAATGCTCCACTGTACACAAGATTGTGTTTCTTAATTTGAGCGGTAAGACACTGTAAAGACTGGATGCTTTAACAGCAAAAGAACCTCCTTATTTTATGTATTGATGGTTTTGCGTGAATAATTGTAACAATCTTACATTTGCGGCATCCACGTTCAAGAAACGTTCCCTCTTCGCTCTAGAAAGTAAAGCTGACATTTTTCAAGCTGTCGCCAATAGCTGAGACCAGCTAAACCTTAGGTGTTCCTAATGTATGACTTCTGTAGAATGTGTAATATTTGCACATTTCCTGCCTTGTCCGGAGACCAAAGCTGGCTTCAGTTGTTATGGTAATACCATTTCCAAAGATTTCCAAACATTTCCATAGCGTATTTGGTCACGTGTTTGAAAGGTACGAAGTATACAAGCTATTTTATCTTTCATTGATTTGACTTTTTTTTTAGATATACATGTACAGTGTATGTAGACTGAATGTTCAATGTACAGTCAATACTCTTAGTGACCCCCCAAGACCTGTAACTAAGTTTTTCAGTTTTAACAATTCCTGTGAAAGGTACCAGTATATGGTGTCCCTTTCGCCATTGTCTCATGATCTCCTATTTGAATATGTTATTGCTCTGAGCCCAAGAGCATATTTCATTTAGACTTTTCTATAACTGCATGATTTATGACGTCTGCTGTTTTGATGGGATGTTCTACTCGGGTATCATCTGCCAAGCAAGACAGTGAAAGAGCCGTGCATGTCTCTGTTTATATATCCAAAAATGATTAGAAAGAGAAGTGGCCCTAAAACTGATCCTTGTGGAGCTCCAAATTTTACTGGCCTCGGTTCAGATAATATTTCTTTGACGCCCGTGCGGTCGTGACCGATTAAATACGGTAGGACCGATGAAAATGGTGAGCTATCGGTCCTTTGAACCGGCAAAATTTTTCTGAAAAGTATGACACTAATTCCGAGTTATTCTGACTTGAAAGTATCATGTAACATTAATTCTCACCGACGAATCGTAAGAAAATCTCCCTTTTCTCCCATTTTAATGCTTTTCATTTGTGGAATCCCTGGTTCCGTTATTAGGCGCAGTCACTGTTTATTCATTGTGTTACACATGTCACGAGGGCTTTTTAGACTGGGTTCCCATGCCTAGATCGATCCATTTGGATCGGTCTAACTCCCTGGGGTGTCTCACTAAATTGTTATCAACCTAACCGGCTTAAATGTCTGTCACGCCTACCGAATCATCTAGGGGGTAAAGATACTTACCCCTTAACAGTTTTACTATGCGTGAAAGACATTTAAACCTGTTAAGTTGATAGC